TGTTATTATTATTGTAATTATTAGAATATTTCTCATTTCCACTAGCTCTACAACTATATCCGTAACGTCGACGTTTACGCTTCCGACGCGAGGTTTTACGCACTTTACGCCTTAATGGCGCCTTACTGCCACTACTATTGTAACCACTAACGCAATGTCCATTCAATGCTTGCAAAGTACTTGTGAATAAATCCATCCACATAATGCTGTTGTTAGAATTTTAGTCTTTTTACCGGAATATCTTCGCGAACGTGTCTCTCTTGTCAGTTTATTTATTCAGTTTGTTCATCTTACTTTTGTTATGTTTTTCTTTCATAATTCTTTCTTATTATTTATTATATTTCCATTTATTATTAGAGTTTAAACAAGAAAGGTTAACTTTAAGCCTACACTTTTACACATCACTATGATTATTTATATAGATATATATTTTCATTATTATTACTATTTACAGCAGAAATGTTCGCTTAATATTTTTATTTGTATTTTTATTGCAAATGAAAAATATCCTACAATTATTCATACATTTCGCGGAAATTAAAATTTTTATTTTTCATGTCTCTACGGCCTTCGATCGCTATCTATCGGTCAGCACTTCATTGAACTGAACTCGTATTGCATCACCGTTTCAAACGAACGAATCTCTCCGAATTTTATTTTACTTTTAATATTTTACCTTTGGATTAACAAATTCATTTGCCTTCGGTTGCGTCCCGCGATTATTTTATGATTTAATTACGTTTTAAAGTCGGTTCATGGCTGATTTCACAAGTTTCCATGACAAGTAATTCTTTTTGTGCTTTTTGCCTGAAAACACAAAAAAGGAAAATTAAATGAAATTAAAACAAAAAATGAATAAATAAATGTATGAATGAATTTATCATTTTAACTTTTAACAAGATGTAAATAAACATTGAAAGTTTTCATACCTTTATACCTAACAACCATGTGTTACGTATCCACAATTATCTTTGTTTCTTCTTTTTTTTTTTGTTTTTTTTTTAAAGTTTTATTTGATATTAATTACACTCTACACTGCCGGTAAGTGTATGTGGTACGAACACGAAGGTAATAGTTATTTACAGAATGAAAATAAAAAAATGGTGAATGAGTTGCAAATCTTTGAGCAGGTCATCTAAATACTATTGAGCCTCTAAGAGTCAATTCATTTAATCGATACGAGCTGATATGCTTAGCTATTTGGGATTAATTAGCATTGCCTCTGAGAGTATGGAGAGTATATTGTTTAAACAATATACTATCAATGATGAATGTTCGATTTTGTGATAATTTTGTGTTCTTGTGTTTGCTTATGTGAATTGCATCTCTCTGCATATGCAATCTCATCTTCTTTTTGTAATCAAAAGTTTTCATTTAAGGTTTTCTTTAATTTACGCAAATACCTCGTCATATTAACACTTGAACGTGAAAAAGGTAAATTAGGTTTATCGTCTGCTAAGTGACACTTACTTACAAGTTAGGGTCTCTATAAGGCATAAGTATTCCCAAAACTAGTACTATTCTAAATTAATTTTGATATATTGGTCCGTTCATTTATCTCATAATAGAACATGGAGAGAGAAAAAGTGCAAAAGACAACTGAAACTTGACAAATTTGCTTTTAGTTAAAATTTCAGGATAGAAAAATTCTCTGAGAAAAATCCTAGAAACTCGAATTTATATGCTATATATATACAATACTTACAATGATGCTGTATGTATATACCTAACCTATACATATAACCTAAAATTTTACAATTCTATTCATCCGATTACCATGCGTGATTAATACAGCATCAGCGAAGGATGTGTCTTTTGAAATCGGTGAGCCATCAATAAATGGCGCCAGTAGAAGCTATTAATTTGAAAAATTCTTTTTTCCTTCAGCACTCATCTTGTTGTAGATAGTCTTTCCAGTTCAAAAGACCGGAAAGTTAGACAAGTCTTGAACTCTCGATTAACAGCAAATGTATTTCATCACATACATTTACACTCTAATGGGCACGTAAATTAAACTGTAAAATTGCTTTCGGTTAATTACTCACTAACAGAATAAATAAACGAAGGCAACTGATAAATGCACAATTATCATTCATAAAATAATATCAGAAAAATTTTGAGGAAACATTTTAACAGCCGATAAAAATTTTAATCAATGTAATTAACAGTTAGCGAAATGTTTGTTCGTGAAAAGCAAATAAATTAATTTATGGTTAAAAATGTATAATATTCAATTTTGACGAGTAGTGGGTGGATGGTGCTCGATAACATATAAATTTAACTCGAAAGCAAATATGTACCATCAATTTAAAAAATGATGAAATGAAAACCAATCTGATAATCAAAATTGTGAACTTACCCCTGTCTCTTTGTAAGCATTTAATTAAAGCAAATAAGAATTCTGTAGACGGATAAAGTCGAACATTAGCTAACCCACAGCTTTACACCTAGTGCAGTTTTATTCACTTGTTTTGATAATATCACGCTAAAGGTTATACATTACTTTCATGCGAACGCACACTTTCCATGAAAGCTTCCATATTGGAGGAAGCCCAAATTATCATATGACGTGATGCCAGTTTTCCTAAACATTTTATTACATTTCAATCTCGGTCATAAAAATTTCGAAAAGACTTTCTCTCCATATAAGATTTTGTTTTTCATGACAATGCCTATATATACGTTAAGCTCTAACAGTAGGTCTGTGTGATCCAAATTACCTGCCGTTAATTTTTTTTTGCTTAAATTGCTACTGTGGAATAATTTTCAAAATAAAATATTAAGAGGTGAAACTTTTCCCGAAGGGTTTACCCAATCCTGAGAAATCTTCGAGTGGAGCAGAGTCCGAGAAGTAAACCCATGTGGTTCCAATTTGGTGTAGTATATTTTCATGTCCATTGGCTCGCATGAACAAATTTTCTTCATAAAACATTAATAAATAAGACTCTACTGCGTATAAAAGGGTTTAAATTTCCTGAGTGTTCTTATATGTGGTAGTATCCAAATAAATAGACCTATCTGATCCAAATTCGCAAAGGTGGAATGCTTCCGCAATGTTCTATTACGATACCAACTATCATCGTGAAATATAGCAAATTACTTTTTTTTACCATAAAAAGTATTAGTTTTCGTAGAAATGGTCGTGTGAGAGAGATTTAAAAAATTGCCTCAGACAAGCTATATTTTTCGCACCAATTTAGAAAGTCGAAATTTTGCTACTCAATGACTTTTGTTAAGAAATTTTCAAAATTCAAATTTGTTGGCTGCAACAATAAACCGATCCAAAACACTTTTAATAGCTTTCGCCTCTGGGCCAGATTACATCACTGTACGAAATTTCATTAACATATTTCACAAATTGCAACCTGCGGTTGAAACAAAAAAATACACGGACAGAGAGCAGACGGACAGACAAGCTTAGAACGATTCAAAAATCGATTCCGAATCGATCGGTATAATAAAGGGTGAGCCTTTCGTAAGCCCTGCTGTGTGTTACATACGTCCGCGCAAAGTTAATATACCCTGTACCACAAGCGAGATAGGAGACTATTTAACCGAATACCTCGCTCTCCCTTTCCCTTCTCCCAACCTTTCTCACTCTTTCTCTCTTTCTCTCTCTCTCTTTCTCTTCATCTCTCTTTCTTTCTCTCTCTCTCTCTCTCTCTCTCTCTCTCTCTCTCTCTCTTCATCTCTCTTTCTCTCTCTCTCTTACTCTTCATCTCTCTTTCTCTCTCTCTCTCTGTCTGTCTGTCTCTCTCTCTGTCTGTCTGTCTGTCTCTCTCTCTCTTTCTTTTCATCTCTCTTTCTCACTTTCTTTAGAGACATTGATCTAAACCATTTGCTGGCATAACATACTGGGCAGACTACGCGTCCCTGTTTTCAATTTGTATTATTTATTAGTTCAAGGTAATATTAATGATGAAGATTCGTCTCATGATGAATCCAAATTCTCATTTCACAAACTTTTAAATGACAAAATTGCCAGTCGTTACATCAAAATCTCTTCAATGCTATTGCTATGCTAGCAACAAATTAGCTCAAGTACACAAACTTGTTTCTATTTACCTCTTGTCTTTAGTTTACATTCACTTAAAGCAGCATCAATCGATTATTACTCGCTTGTGTTACGTGAATAATAAATTAGTTTAAATATTTCCTTTAAAAAATTTTATACAAAGCGAAAAATCACGGGACTTTTTCTGCACATACCTGTCGAACCTGTCAATTTTTAAAGTAATAAGGTATACATCTCATGGGATTTCAATTGTTTCTTTTTGAGACTAAATCAAGTTAGCTATGTTACCGGTGCTTTTGTAAATACATGAGTTTCTGAGAGAATGAGTTTCGATTGAACATTAGTTCTTAGCAAAAGTAAAGTAAGCGCTTTATCAAGGATTATCCATTTTTGAAAGTAAATAATTCACATTTGAATCAAAGTTTTTTTTAGATCCTTCCGTTATTTGTCGAATACAATATTATTCAAATGTCCTTCGTGGGACATTTTAGTGGACTGAATGACTTATCTGTACATAGCAGACAATAATTCGAAAATAATAACACGAGGACTGCTTCCTTTTTAAAGCATGGATAATAGTCGCAAAGTGGCCATGTCTATGGCAGGTTAGCCATGTATCATTTTTGCATCAAACTTTTCGATTTCTATTGATTCCAACGGTTTCGAATTTTTTATCG